GATCATGCTTCGTAGCACGTGACCGAATGACTTCTCGCGTCAGGTACGCGTCGAGTTTCTATGCTCGCGCGTTTATCTTTAGAATTAATATCTTTTAATCCATAATAAAGTGAGACCCTGGTTTGGTGTAAACTCCAACACCCTGTGCGGGGGTGTTTTTACTCTAGAACACTCGGTAGCGTACTATTTCATGGTAGTGTAGCCTTTTATTAGACTTCGAGTATATTGAGGTGATTCGGTCACGAACCGACCACAATTCCTACTGTCTAAGGCGTGCACATTTCTCGGATGTAAACTTTAATCGACTAGACCGGGTTGCGTCTAACGATCCTTATGATCAATGTGACTGTATTTCTACTATAGGAGGTTTTATAGGAGAAATCGCTAAAATTCGCATTTTTACGGGTGTATTGTTACACTCCGTATCATCTCCCCCTCACTATAATACTGACCGTCCTCGGTCATCACTAGATTCCCGTATGAGGACGTTCCCCTCGTGTTTCTCTGGATTTTATATTGATATGTCTTCAAAAGATCACCGTCTGTCAAGCGTGTCTTTTATCCTTCGGCGTCAATTACTATTACTAGTGCAGGCGCGTTATTCTTCGAAGACATGACATCATATTCCTATTGTTGCCTAGGTACGCCTTAGTTGATTAACGTTTTTGACGTCCATTAAGATTTTCAGGGTCGATGGAACCGAGGGATTCTCAGCGATCTTCTCCCGTAGACTATTCTTCGGAAAGTGCCTCGCTATTCCGTATGTTCCGCCTGACGTTCCTATAAACTTCGTGCTTTATGGGAGCGATTGTCACAATTTCTTTCTAACTTTCCCCATCATGCCTACCGCATTCCTTGGTTGTCGCGCCGCCGTTCAAGCGTTCGAAGTCGGCATTGACCTCTTCTCGCGTTCCCGCCTCAACGCTATGTCTGAGGCCGAGATTATGGCTACGCTATACCGCCTGCATAGTTATATGGTGAGTCTCTGTTCTTTTCTTTTATTCTCTGCTGATTTTCGACTTTTTATTGCCTTAGTTAGCATTGTTTTCAGACATCCTCGCTCGTCCTGGTGGTCCTACGCCACACGAGTCTCGTTTACTGGCGTCCATTTACAATGCCGCCCAACGCGTTGAAGAACGCAACCGAAGTACTGCCTGGGAGGAATGGCTGCAAGAACCATTGGATGGTCATGCGCTTTATAGCCCTGTAAGTAACTTTCTTCCGTTCTTTCTTTTTATTTTCCTTCTAATGATTTTTATCTTTCTAGGGCGAATGCCTAGACTCCAGCTTTACCACGGGGTACATAGGAGAGGAGGACGCGCCGAGCGACCGCGGGTCTTCGTCACCTCCGGGGATCATTACTCCCCGAGGTCGAGCTCATGTCGTTCAGTCCCCTTCTCCTACGGGATCCGATCCGTTGTTTCTACCGAGCCCTGGCCCAGAGTCCCTGCCAGTTTCCTCGCCTGACTCGACGCCGCCTGTCCCTGTTCGAAGGTTGAAGCGTACTCGTGCCATGGTCATGGACGAAGATTCGGATGTGGTCGAGATCATCGATCCTCCGTCTTCAACGCCCTTGAAGCTGGCTATTGGCCCTGTAAGTTTCTTCATTTTCCTCTGCTTAGACATTTTTACTAACTTTTTTTTTTTTTGGTTTCTTAGCCAGGTAAACGACGCAAGATTATTGAGAAACCCTCGTCTGATGACGAGGCCATCCAACATCCCAACCGTTCACGTTCGAGCTTGTCGGACTCTGTACCTCTCGCTAGGCCTTTGCGTGCAGACAAGGGCAGAGCTCGCGCCAAGACGCCTCCGCCTGTTGCAGGTTCATCTCGAGTTGACAAGGGAAAGGCTCGGGCGAGGACTCCTCCTACTACTCGTAGTTCCGCCAAGCGTACTGCCTTTAAGCCACCGGTGGTCAAGCAGAAGGAAACTTCTGTTCAACCCAAGCGTCGCGGTCACCCTCGTAAGAAGTGTAAGCTTTTTCTCTTTCTCAATTTGCTTTTTTAACTTTATAATTCGGGTTTTTTCCAGCTCCCGTTATTTTCCAAGAGCCCATCGTGTTCGACAAGAAGCGATTTAGTAAGTCGTTCTTTTTACTAGTATTTTGGTTACCCTGCTGACTTTCTTTTTAGAACGTGCCACCGCTAGATTTGGGCTTAAAGAGCTCCCCGCGGTTCTTAAGGGTACGCAAATCCATGTATGTCTCCTCCTCTCATTTTTGTCTGAGTTTTCATAGGTACTGATACCTGTTTTATTAGATGCCCGAACCTTGCCTTCAGTGCTCCGCGCGCAAGGATTCCACTGTCAAGAACTGCACCTTTCGTGGGTGGGGAACTCCCTGCGGTCCTTGCGACGCGGCGCATGTTTCTTCGTGTGAGTACTATCTGAATGATGAACGCCGAGGGGCCGTCAGGGATGTCATCCGTAACCGGTTGGCTATTCATGCGCCTTCAGGTATGATTTTTATTTTTATTTTATAGTCTTTTTAATGACTTTTCACTTATTTTTCTAGCTATATCTGCGCTGATGGAGTCCATCGAAGAAGACACGCTTCATATGCGCACCCTATCCGCAGTCCTTGAGGCCATTCGCCATCGTCGCGACGCCAATCTTCGAGAGTTCGCAAACGCCATCGCGGACCTGTGTCTCACCACCGAGCCTGGAACTCTTCTAGGCACTGTTTTCGAGACTCGCGAGGAGTTCGGCTCGTGGTACAGCTTCGTTCAAGACTTTGTAGATACTCAGGGGGTCCCAGTGCCTGCGGGTTCAATGACGGCCGATTTGGAGAGACTCGTCTCACTTTTTCAGTGAGACGATTCTCCTCCCATTGCTGGGCCTTCATCTCTGACACCTCGTCAACGCCGCGTCCGCTCGCTGTCCCTTATTCCTTCTATCGCCGTTGCTTCGCCTGGTCTTCCACCTTCCGCCCATTCTCAGGAGGAGGAGGAGGAGGTTATCGACGAGCTTGTTGACGAGGAGTAGGTGCGCTTGTTTTTACGGACTCTTTTACTTGGCATGCATTCGGACATCTTAGTTTTTGGACTTTCTATATCAACCTTTTTGTGTCATTATCTTTTGTAGTTAGATTCTGCTGTCCTTATAGTAGAATCTTGACTTTGTCTTTCTTGAACTTTGAGATTTGTTCCTAAGTGAGAGCCTTTTTGCATGCTTTCTAGAGTGTGAACTTGTGAATTTTTGACTTTATTTCGCATTTTTCTATCAAATTCATTCTGCCTTAGGGTTTTATTGTCTCTAGTTCGCGTTTTTATGACTCTTTTCCCCTTGGTGGTTTTAGTGAATCATGAAATCGAATTTTTTATCTATCAAGGTAGCCTTGATCCCTCCCCCTCACTAAATATTGACTGTCCTCAGTCAAAACGACTAAGTTCATAGGTCACGTGGCGCGGGAAATCCAAGGCTCGGAAAGTTTATTCTATTTTTAGACGTGATCGCGCTGGAACGCGCAACTCCAAATTTTTCATGCTTCAAGTGAATTGCAACGCGGAATTTCGGAACGCGCACACCTTGGTCTCAGACACACAAATAAAAGCAGGCAGTGGCGAAAAATTTTCGGACAGAACAGTTTTTTGCTTTTCTACCACGCACTCTCATTTTACCACTCGCTCATTATGTCTATCCCACACAACGCTCTTCCCGCCGCTGTCAAGCTTCGTGAGTCCGCTCTCACTGCCTTCAAAACTTATCAGGACATGAAAGAGGGACTGAACAGCGCTGCCGCTCCCACCATTCTTGGCATAGCCGCTAATTACTGTGTAAGTCGCGGATTTTTCTGTTATAAACTTTGTATTGTCTATTTCTTCGAACAAAGGCTAATACTGCGCACTTGACTAGGTTCAGCTTATCGACACCAAGGATCCGTGTCTGCTTATGCACCAGCCAATGCACAACGTGCTTTTCCTTGTTAGAGGCGAGTACAATACCCGCAGCACTGGAGTTCACGCCATCGCGCCCCCAGCCGACCTCGACACTATCAAAGAATATTGTCGCGCCGTTCTCGCCGCGCGCGCCGCTGCGCAGGTCGTTCCACCACCTGTTACTGCTCAAGCTCAGGCTCAGGCTGAGATTGCAGAGGTAATGGCCGCCGCTAAAGCCAAGGCACGTTTATACTTATTTTGTTCATCTTTTCTCATTTTATTAACGCAGCGCGGATACATTTTGAAACAGCATCCCCGCAAGCTTGTCAAGTCCAAGGCTGTTGTTGAGGACAAGGATGACGAGGTCGAGATTGTCCCCAGCCCCTCGGATACCGACGTTATGATGGGTGGGTGTGATGGCCCCAACGCTATCACTGCAGCTGACACCGTGCGTTTTTTTTTTTTTTTTTTTTTTTCTTTTGAGCAGAACACAATTTTAATATTGCGTACCGCTTTGCTCAGATGGCAGTGGACAACCTCTTCGGTGACGAAGAAGTCAAGGACGCTGCTTCCTCTCCCAAAGAGAAAGGCAAGAAGCGCGCTGCCTCTGGTCCCAAGGTAAGCTGCTATTATTGCGTGAGTCCACTGCCACGTTGTTAACTTCATATTTTATTCGGACATAACAGACCCCAGNCAAATCCAAGCATGCCGAAACGGTCAGCATTCCCTACGACGCTGTTCCAGGCATGGACACTAACAGTCGCGAATTTCACAAGGCCCTCGTCGTCGAGCATGCCAAAGGCAGTTGCGCTGGCGACAAACGCCCTCGTACTGAACCGCCCTTTATTAGTGGTTTAGCAGATCTTCAGTCTCGTCAAAGTTCGTATTTATCTTTTATCTTCATAAATCGTAAACTAACGCGCTTGTCCTTTGTTATAGACGAGTCTGCCAACTCCTTGCTCATCGACAACCCTCTGTACAGGGAGATCTTAGCGCGCGCACATGCTGCTGTTACCAACCGCATGCCGGCTTATCCCACCCTTGCTTATTTCAAGCAGCAAGAGGTCGATCTTCGTGAACGCGTTCTTCTTAGCATGCAGCGCCTCGACTTGGAGCTTCGTCTTCGCGATGTACTTGTCGCTGATTACGAAATTGCCCTTGCCCAGATTGCTGAGCGTGAAGTAACTAAGGAGTAGTAGAACTATCCGAACTTTTTTTTTTTTTTTTTTTGTAGACGGACACCTAGAGCCCGCATGTATAGTTGACTACGCATGGAAAATCTAGAAGGCGCTTGCGCATTATGTTTATAAACTGCTGGAGGTTTTTATTAAACTTTTTAGCCAATTTTAAAGCATAAGTCTACTAAGCCTCTTCTTCACTTAAATCTTCGATTTCTTCTAAGTCCCCGGATTCATCTGCGGAAGACCCATCAAGATTAACTCCTTCAAAGTAGTAATCTCTTGCGTTAGGTCTTTCTTCAACGCCTGTGTTTTCGATTTCATCCAGTTCCTCATTGCTTGCATCAATAAGTGTACTGAAGTGCTCAGGTAAGTCGATCCTTTCTCTTGCGAAATACGGAATGACTCTGAACGCTCCAATTTTATTGTGATTGACTGATCCGTCCAGTTCACAAACTATATATGAACCTCCCTTTGTTCGACGTACCACAATCATAGGTCCCAGGTATCTTGGTTGCATTTTACTATTTAATGACGAGGATACTTGTGAATTTCTGATAAGCACCAGGTCTCCGGGTTTATACATTTGACCACTGATTTTATGGCGGTGGCTTAGTTCATATTTTGCCACTCTTTTCATTTTTTCTAAGGTGACCCTCTCGCGCATTTCCGCCACATGCTGCCTGTGTTTTGCTAATGCTTTGGCTCTATAGCCAATCAATTCTGCAGTGGACAACATACGATCTGGTAATTTTACTAACCAGGTAGCCTCCTGTACGTCGAGAGGTAATATTGGATGTGTGCCTGTTACCATAAAGAACGGCGAACAACCAAATCTTTTTCTAATCGTGATCCTGTCAGCCCAAAGTACTTGCCAAAAGAACCAATACCACTTGGCAAGGTTCTTGGGTCCACAGCACTTTGTGAGCATTTGTATAATATCCCAGTGGGGCCTTTCGATTCTGCCATTTGCCTTAGAATTATACGGAGATATCCTAATACCCTTTATCCCGTATTTTTCTTCAAGCCATTTTACAGCAGCAAGGAAAGCCGAACCATTGTCAGTTATTATTACTTCTAGACAACCCCATCTGCAGATGACTTCTTCAAAAAGCCATAAGCCGACAGTTCTTGCAGTTTCACTTTTTAGGGGTTTTCCTTCAACCCAGCTTGACAGTGCACACCTCCCATGGACGATGTACTTACATCCATTTGATTTCGGAGTCATGTGTACGGTATCAGCGTGTAGTCGTTGGAAAATAGATGGTGTATGTGTCACGGTGGGTGGGATTTCCACCACACGTTTGGTTCGTTCCTGACAACGCTGGCATGTTTTCACATACCAATGTACGTCTCTTTCGATTTCAGGCCACCAAAAACGCTCCGTTAACATATTCTGCGTTGCATATGCTCCCCTATGTCCCATAGCATCGTGTGCAGATCTCATCATGTACATTCGGTGAGACTCGTCGACCACTAGCTTGTGACGTGATTCAATGCTTCGACGATATAATCTATCCTCTTTGTCTAGGAAGAAACTTTTTGCAAATCTTACGAAAGCGCCATACTTTTTATCAGAATATCCTTCGATCTTTTTAGGATTTTTCAGCCATTCTCTTAGTATAAGAAGGAATTCATCCTGTGACTGTCCAATGAATGACCTATGAGTTTCCGGGTAAGGTTGCTCTGTTTCTAGTTCATCAAACCTGGCCTCCAGGCCTGGTGAAGTTAAAGTCGAAATCATGTAAGTTCGAAGAAATTCCTTCTGTTCTGGGCTGCTTTTTGTATGATCTGGATCATTGTCCACTCTTGTTTTCACATCTTTAGCTATTTTCTCTGTCATTGCTATTTCCCTGTCTAGTTCATCCTGAAAATCTAAGATGTCTAGAGCCAATTGTTGGATATATCCCCCCCTCGAGTCAATTTGATCTTTGAAGGTTTCGAAATCCAAAGGGGGCTCCCCTCCATCTGGATCTGGTAACACTTCAATGACACCAACGGGTTCGTCGAGATGTTCATCTGAAGGTGGATACACATCGTCACCTGGTTGAGCGTTTCTGCGTGATAATCCATCTGCGCCAAAGGTCTTTCCTTGGACATGCTGTAACTTAAAATGGAACATTAGACATGTGTCAATCCATCTGTTGATGGTTGCATTCGGTCCCATTTCAGGGTTTCGAAGCATACCAGACAGGTATTTCGCGTCTGTTTCCACAATTAGTTTTCGACATCCTAGAAGCCAATATGATGCAGCCTGTAAAGATCGCATTAAACCAAATAATTCTCTTTTTGGTTGAGAAAATCGAGCTTCTCTATCATTCAAAGTTATAGAACCAAACCTGGCATACTGCCTAAGCCCAGTCGTATGGCTATCCTGATATATGTAGAACCCAACCGCTTTCCAAGAGGTGTCTACAGCTAGTACCACTGGGTTAGGATTATTTTTGTAATCCAACGGCACGAGCGCTTTACTTTCGCGAAGTGAGGATTTCAATTTGTCCATAGACTTTTCTTGTGCCGGTCCCCATACAAAAGGAGCTCCCTTTTTGCATAAATCGTTGAGAGGTTCTGCTTTCTTTGCAAAATTCTCAATAAACATTCTGCAGACCCCTACAGTTCCTAGAAAAGCCCTGACATCATGTAGGTCTTTACAAGGTCCCCAAAGATCTATAACTTTCATTCTTTCAGTTTCCGGTTTTCTGCCTTCATAAGTGCATAGGTGGCCTACTACTGTTATTTCAGCCGCACAAATTACCGACTTAAATCCCGAAAAGGTTCCTCCAGCATATTTCATCCTATGAACTACCCTGTTAGCATTTTCGAAGTGTTCCATTATGAACCTTCTTATACCGCTATTTTCAGGTATAGTCTCATATTTTCCATCTGGCAACTCATACCTTGTTGCAGGCCCTCTGACAGGCACATCATCAATATATGGTACAGTTACTTCAGGAATTTCTTCTTGTAAAATATACGTAACATCATCATGGAAAATTGGAACGGAATTTGTCCAACCCATGGGTAGAGTGACAAGCCTTAAAGCTCCAAAAGGTGTTTGAAATGTAGTCAGATCCCTGGAAGTTTCTGCCAAGAGCCTTTCATCATATCCTACGTATAAATCAAACATTCCTCCACAAGCACGACCAGCGAAATGCGTAGCAAGTGCATCGGTTGCCGGTGGTAACCCTGAATGCGCCATAGTCACTGCATTTAAAGGTTCCAGGCTATGTACAAGCCTCAAACTTTTTCCATCTTTCTTTAATACACAAAACCATCTTGACCTATAAGAAGAATTTGAGGGTTCATATACCCCAGCATCCAATTTGGTCTTAATAATTCTGCACACTTCTTGATAAAGTCCAGGAGGTATTGGAATATTTTTCAAAACCCACGGCGTATGTGGAATTATTGGAATGTCTACGGGTGGGAAGTATTCTGTTTTGAAGCTCCCCCTCTCACTATCATCCCAAGCAAAGGCTTCGTTGTTTTCCATCATAAAATGATGTAGTAGTTTGTGCTCCTCTGGCCACAAGAAATCGCCGTCATGAACTTTGTCAAATTGCTCTCTTCGCTCTTCAGTATAGCGTCCCGTGGGTGTGAATTTTGGTGGGTTTCTATTCAGCTTTGGCAAGGTGTCCATTGGATCGCCTTT